AAATACAAAAATTAGCCAGGCGTAGTGACACATGCCTGTAGTCCCAGCTACTCGGGAAGCTGAGGTGGGAGGATTATCTGAGTCTAGGGAGGTCGAGGCTTCAATGAGCCGTGATTCTGCCACTGCACTCCAGCCTGGGTGACAGAGTTAGACCCCGTCTCAAAAGAAGAAGGAAAAAAAAAAAAAGAGTAAGCATGGATTTAATAATTCCACAGTGTATACAAAAATCAGAACATCACATTGTGGCCAGGCACAGCTCATGCCTATAATCCCAGCACTTTGGGTGGCTGAGGCACAAAGATCGTTTAAGCTCAGAGTTCGAGACCAGCCTGGGCAATGTAGTGACACCTCATGTCTACAAAAAAAATAAAAAGTTAACCAGGTGTGGTAGTAGACGACTGTGGTCCCAGTGGTCCCAGCTAGGCTGAGGTGAGAGGATTGCTTGAGCCCCAGAGGTTGAGGCTGCAGTGAGCCATTATTGTGCCACTGTACTCTGGGTAACAGAGTGAGACCCTGTCTTGAAAAATATAAATAAATAAATAAAAAAGAAAACCCCCCAAAGCCACATCACATTGTACCCACAAAATACATACAATTATTGTCAATTAAAACAAAACATTAAAAAAATGAAGGAAAGGGAAATCATTTGTTGAGCACCAACTGTGTGCCAGGTACTTTAAATACATAATACATTAACCCCAGCAGTTAATATGCTTGCTTTCCACACTTGCCAGCTAGATGACTTTTATAACATTTTATAAAATTGCCTAACCTCTTTGTACCTCAGTTTCCTCATCTGTAAAGTGAGGATAATCTAGTATCTACTGTGCAGGGTTCCCCTTCTGAGAGTTAAATGAGATAATAGATGGAAGGCCCTTTAGTACAGTGCCTGGCATAAAGGGTCAATGTATATTACGTAACACACGTACACAGCATGCCTCCTTCCCAGAACTCCCAAGCAAGCCCTGGGTCACATGACCATCTCTGAACCAATCACTGTGACGGAGGGTGGTCTCATGCTGATGAGCTGAGGCAGAGCCGTAGGCTACATTCCTAGAGTGCTAATGGAATTGGCCTCTCACAAAACACTGGGGCTATAAGAGGGTGTTCTGGATACTGAATTAAAAACTAGGGCAGTTTGAGACTATGAGGAGGAAGAAAAGATGCTGGGGAGGCAGCCACAAGGTTCACTATGCCCTGGGTTCATTTAGCTATTCTGAATATTCTAGCAAAAACAATGCTGCCATAGATAGGAAAGTTTTCTCAAAACATATCTTCCAAATGGAGTATCTTTTTAATCAACACCTTTCTTCCCACTTACCTTCCTAAGTTTCTGAAAAGTCATCACTCTGTGATGCCAAGCACTTTCTCCCAACCCCTATCTTCTTTTGTATTTACCAAAAACCCAAGTTTATATACTCCCCAACTTATAACAATATACATTATAATCTTCCCCATTATTCTAGGTCACCATCAACACTGGAAGTTATCTTACCTTCCTTCCCAGGTGTCTGCTTACAATTCACATTTGGCGGCAGATGTTGCCAGCAGAACATTCATGTGCATCCAAGTTAACAAGTGCTCAGGCTGCCACCTTTCAGAGTGTGTGTGCTTGTGTGTGTGTGCGCATCTGCTTGCATATATCATATGTCCAGATTTTTTTTTCTGTGAAAATTTATCTTTTCAATTAAATTTCAATAAAACCAATTTTTTTCTGTGAAAACTCATCTTTTCAATCAAAATAATAATTGTCTAGAGGACAAAAATATGGACTTTAAGTTGATTTTCTACCCAGGGCTGCATCTTCAGTTAGCATTTCTAAATGTCTACCTTCTATTACAGAGATACTTCATGTATTTATAATCTTTTTTGTGCTGATGCCCTGAAGGGATTTTCCTGTGAAGGCAGCAACTTAAAAATAAAAAATAAATTACTGATATTGAACATCCTCTTCTCTAGATTTTCTTGTAGTTTTCAAAGGTTGGCCAAATATTTATCTTTTGGGAGAAGTAAGTTGGAAATAGCAATAAAGAGAGATTAATTGCCTAAAGCATTTTATTGATTTGCCATGAGTGGGTAAATATATCAAGTTACAAACTCACTGTGCTCCACCAAAGAGGACATGAAGGTTTCGGAATGGCTGAGAGGTGAATGCAGATGGCGAGTGCAGATGGCAGAGATGAGTTTAAGTACCTTGTATACTATCCCTGTAATAATATTTTTCAAGCTCCCAGAAACCTATGCTTATGTTGACTGCATTGTGTGTGGCTTTGTTTTCTCTTGTTATTAGAAAAAAAAAATTAAAGCAAACCCAATACACAACTTACAGCTCCAATCTGAACAATGGAGAATCATTTTGTTGTCTAAAAACCTATACTTAAAGCTTATTCATGAACGAAGCCTCAGTATTCAAAAGATGAAATAATAATTTTTCAGCTAAAAATAAATGCTTTTTGGTGTTGTTTTAGTGAACTCTCAGGTAACATAAAGGATCATGCTTCTGAAAAAACACCAATAAAATAAGACAGCAAGTGCCTCTGCATGGACACAAACTAGGCATTGTTCTTTTGAAACAGATGCCTTGGTGCTACCAGTTCAAGAAAGAACTAAAATTACAGTCTACTTGAAGAACATTTCAAAGTGTGGTTTATGGCACTCTTCACCCCAGAAGTTACATTCTATAAATGCGGCCATCATTATAGAAATGACACACACATGCTTGCATGGAGCATAAAAGCACGCTTCTTTCTGTTTCCAGAAGCAGGCCTCTGTAAGTTACTGTTTTTCTGACTTTTATGGAGTGTTGTTTGCAACATAAAGTACTTGAAAAACCCACAGGGTATGTGAAAGGTGCACATGCTTTTGTGAGTGTGAGAGGGAGAGCTGGACGGAAAGGCAGAGCGTGCCAACTGGGACTAGTTATTTCAGCTTTTCTGCAAAATCAGTGATGACGGCCGGGCGCGGTGGCTCACGCCTGTAATCCCAGCACTTCGGGAGGCCGAGGCAGGCGGATCACGAGGTCAGGAGATCGAGACCATCCTGGCGAACACGGTGAAACCCCGTCTCTACTAAAAACACAAAAAAATTAGTCGGGTGTGGGGCGGGCGCCTGTAGTCCCAGCTTCTAGGGAGGCTGAGGCAGGAGAATGGCATGAACCCAGGAAGCGGTGGAGCTTGCAGTGAGCGGAGATTGCGCCACTGCACTCCAGCCTGGGCGACAGAGCGAGACTCCTTCTCAAAAAAAAAAAAAAAAAAAAAAAAAAAAAAAATCACTGATGACTGGGAATCAGCTCCCCAACTGCCTACAGGTCTGTGCTATGGAAGCTCCGCCTTCCATGGCTTGCTACATTTTGGGCACAGAGTGGCCTTGTGTGCCCGCTAACACCACCCGCTCACACACATCCATACCCTACACTCACCTCTCATTTTTGGAGCTCCCCTCCCCACTACCTCTTTGCGGGGGCCTAGTCCACAACCCCAGAACATTCTTCATTGGTACTTTCAAAGGTCTGTGGTGGGTATGACTAGACACTGAAGAAATCTCAACGCTCCTGTGTAGGGGTAATCAGAGCTTGGATACGGAATTAGAATCAGAAAAAGAGAACCAGCACAAACAGAAAAAAACAGCACTGCTAAACAGGTGAGAGACCAAGAGGCAGAGGCCATGGGAGTCATATCAACAGAGCGCACAGCTTCAGCTTTGTGCATTCTCATCAGCTACACTAACGTTTCTGTGGTTTTTTGTTTTTCAAAAGCTTATATTGAAAAGTCATCCAAGATACACTGCTGTACTAACAAGAACCGTCCTACCTAAAAACACTTCCTCTAAGTACATACTGCTTTGCTGAGTTCTTCTCCTTACCTGATAATATCTAATAATGATGTTACAATATTTTTGCACTGAAGATTTGGCATATTGAAACCTTTTGGTCCAGCAGTGTCTTATTATGTTTTTTTTTTTTTTGAGACAGGGCCTTAATCTGTTGCTCAGACTAGAGTGCAGTGGCATGATCACGGCTCGCTGCAACCTCTGCCTCCCAGGTCCAAGGGATCCTCCTATCTCAGACTTCTAAGTAGCTGGGACCACAGGGGTGCACCACCATGCCCGGCTTATGTTTTGTATTTTTGATACAGATGGAGTTTTGCCATATTGTCCAAGCTGGTCTCGAACTCCTGACCTCAAGTGATTCACCCACCTCAGGCTCCCGAAGTACTGGGATTATAGGCATGACCCACCATGCCTGGCCCAGCCCAGTAGTTTTCACAAAAGATAGTACACGTGTTACTGTGGTCAGCAATTTTTTTTTTTTTTTTTGAGACACAGTCTCGCTCTGTCACCGGGCTGGAGTACAGTGGTACGATCTTGGCTCACTGCAACTTCTGCCTCCTAGGTTCAAGCGATTCTCCTGCCTCAGCCTCCCAAGTAGCTGGGACTACAGGCGCCCACCACCACGCCCAGCTAATTTCTGTATTTTTAGTAGAGACGGGGTTTCACCATGTTGGCCAGGCAGGTCTCGATCTCCTGACCTCGTGATCCGCCCGCCTTGGCCTCCCAAAGTGCTGGGATTACAGGCGTGAGCCACGGCGCCCAGCCAGCAAGATAATTTTAAGATATATTCAATATATTCAGATATTTATCCTTTTAATGGTTATATATTTTTTTCTAATGCATATTAGAAAAAACATCACAAGCACGTCAGTCACTGCACTTAGTAGCATAACTTCCCATGAGCTTATCACTGATGTCCAAGGCCAGGTCTGAATAGGTGCTTTCTGGGGCAACCTGTTAGCATATGAAAATCATGAACACTGATCGATGATCCCCAGAACTGGGGAGAGGTATCTCCTGCCTCTTTGCCCTGGGACTATGGATAAGTGTCTCCTGACAATATCATACCATGCGGCCCTGTGAAGAGGGAGACTTCCCAGCCTCCTGCCAGCCTTGACAGCCTAGCCTCCGGCTTCAACAGTAGGTCTCCTTTCTCCAATCAAACACATTAGTTGGGATTTTGCAACATTTAATCAAAAAAGAATCTGGCATCTTAAAAGTTAGGTTTACAAACTTGATACATTCTCGATATTAGCAATTTATCTATTTAAACATTGTCTAAGAAAATACCATCTATGAAGACATTAATACATTAATAAGATACTTAAGAGTTCATTATAAGCTACAACACTGTGCCAATAAGTATCCAGTTTAATTGTAACAAACCACAATTTGTGAGCAAATTTAGGAATATAAAAAACATTAATTAGTTAAATACAATTCTCTGGGAATATACATTATACCTACAGCTGTTTTTACAGTGAGAGTCTTCCTTTTTTTTCCCTTTTAATTATCAAAATGGTAAATCACTGTATGGTCCTGGATCTCCATGCTATAAAACTGAAATATGTATTTCCAGCGTAGCAGATGGTGACCAGGAAGGCAAAGAACTGGAGAAAACAAAGCATAATAGAAGTGGGGTTTAGGGCACATCCTAATTAGCAAAAGTTATCATTTCACCTCCATTGAATCATGCACTCACTACCTTCTCTTGATACCAGGCTTTGTCATCTAAAACTACTTTATTGGTTCAATTACTATCCTTCTCAAATGATTTCTGGCTATGCTGCTTTTATTTTAGAGAACATCTGAAAGCCTGTAGTTTTGCTCAAATAACCTCAGGGAGTTCACTTAGGAGTGAATGCACCGGCAGTGCATCTGAGAAAAGTATATCATTTCTAATTTAGCACAGACAACCTAGGTCCAGGGTACAATCTGGGATTGCTACAGTGTCAGTTCACATAAATGAGTGGAGTGGGCCAGAGTCAGCAATGAGCCCACATGGTATGTGTGGTGTGAACAGGGAGGAGGAAATGCAGGCCCTTCTGAATTAATGGGGCAGCGTCCACCCAGTTCTAGTCCACTCTTGCTATGTGTTAACTTGAGCCCAGTCTTGACGAAGCTTGTGATTTTTAATGTCACCGGCATCCATGTGCTCTACTTTTATTTTATTTTGTTTTTTTGAGAGGGAGTTTTGCTCTTGTTGCCCAGGCTGGAGTGCAATGGCGTGATCTCGGCTCACTGCAACCTCTGCCTCCTGGGTTCAAGTGATTCTCCTGCCTCAGCCTCCCAAGTAGCTGGGATTACAGGTGCCCACCACCACCCCCGGCTCATTTTTTTGTATTTTTAGTAGAGATGGGGTTTCACCATGTTGGCCAGGCTGGCCTCGAACTCCTGACCTCAGGTGATCCACCCGCCTAGGCCTCCCAAAGTGCTGGGATTACAGGCATGTGCCACTGTGCCCGACCAATCTACTTTTAAATAGAGATCTTCAAATAGAAATAAAAGTAAAGAATATGATGAACCCCCATGTACCATCAATCAGCTTTGACATAATCATTCTGGCATTTCTGTCTAACTGCCTCCCCTCCTCCGATAGGCTTCTTTTGGAGATGGGCTATTTTAAGGCCAATCTCAGAGAGATTCTTAATACCAGTATTTTCTTTTTAATTAGAAAAATAATACACACTTATGGTTTAAAAATGCAAGCAGAAGTATATAAATTAAAAAGTAAGGTCAGGTGCGGTGGCTCACTCCTGTAATTCCAGCACTTTGGGAGGCCAAGGCTGGAAGATCACTTGAGCCCAGATCCAGACCAGCCTGTGCAACACAGCGAGACTTAGTCTCTATAGAAAGTTAAAACATTAGTTGGGCATGGTGGTACAGATTCTAGTCCCAGCTATTCAGGAGGCTGAGGCAGGAGGATGGCTCAAGCCGAGGAGTTCCAGGTTGCAGTGACCTATAATTATGCCACTGCACTCCAGCCTGGGTGATAGAACAAGACCCCTTCTCTAAAAAAAAAAAAAAAAAAGAAAAGTAGAAGTTCCTCGTCCCACTCCCCTCATTTCCCAATCCCATTCTCTAGAAGGAACCTCTACTGGTATATATTTTTCTAGGCATTCTCAATGCATAAACAAATGTTTTCACTTAAAAAAAAAAACTAAATGGAATCATATTCTGTTCATTTTCTGCAACCTTCCCCCACTTAATAAATTATAGGCAGTAGAATTATTCTTAGCATGCTTTAAACAGTTTTTCTCCCTTGAATCCTTATCTTGTTCCAGTCATTCAGCATTCACTCAAGCATCTCCCAGCCTTTTCCCACTTCAGGCCAGGAGGGCCCCTGCCAGTTTTAGATATTTTCAAACCAATAAGCCAATTGCTAATTTGTCACTACTGCAAGCGCTGCTTTTTCCTGCAGATGACTCTGTCCTCCCCAGCCCCAAGCAAGCCTTGGAGAGGGAAGAGGAGGATCATGTGGGGAGGGAGGGCTACTCACCGATGAGGCCGCCCAGCTGTTGAAGTTGTGACTGTCCCTCTCAGGGGAGACGGAAGATGCATCTACAACAGCGGCAGAGAGGTACAAGACGAAGGCACTGCCGTTAAAGCACAGGCCCTGGGGGGACACAGGGGCAGAGTGTTCAGGGACAGGGGAGGGTCTGCACATCTCTGGACTTCAGAAGTGACCAGGGCTGTACCTCTGGTGAGGGAAGGGGCCCAAGTGGGACACCTGTGGGAGGGTGGGAGACAAGGCGGTGGGAAGGCAGCTCTCAGGGCCTTGGGGAGGCAGCAAGTGCGAGAGGAGAGGGTTTTACGGCAGCTCATACCAGATGCCACCCCCTGCCCCCACAAGACACTGAGACTGCATGCCGCCCCTTCAGTCATTTTGCTTCTTCCGTTTGCTCCTGAGCCTCATCTCATCCAGATGTCAGCCGAGCTGACACTGTCTGAGGATGGCAGGCAACAGTGGCGCCCACTCAGTGGGCTCAGCCTCAGCCCCTGGCCCTCAGCAGCAGTTGTGGTCCTTGCATGTGTCCCTGACATAGAGGTGCAATAGAGTGCCCCCCAAAACAGACCCAGCTGACTCCCTAACCCCCTGTTCCAAACAGGGAGGGATATTTAAGTGAGCTTCTCTGTCCTAGCTGTAAGTTCTTAAAAAGGCGGTTACAGACACTATTACAGCCCTTTGGGAGCTAACGTCACCCTTGGCTTCACCTTATTTTTTCCTATTTTTAGAGAAGATATGTAAGTCCCGGTAGGTATTTGGTTTTCAGTTATGTCTAAACTCTAAGAAACCATGCTCTGAACCATGCAAAGCTGGGTCCTGCCTGAACAGGGGAGGGGCGGTGGTGAGGTGAAACCAGAGCAGAAACCAACTGGGGAGGAAGGGGGATGCCTCTCAAGGAGTGGGCCCTCTGCGGTCTAACATCTTCTTTCTCTTGGTAACTTGGAGACAGAGGAAGGGGTAGGGGAAAGGGAGGAAGCAATCTTTTTCTTCTCAGAGAAAAAAAAGGTACATAGAATTTTCCCACTGCAGGCCCTAGCATTGTGGCAGAGGTTGGATGTCCTTGTCACCACCTCCACCTGTGCTCACATTGTCCCCGGGTCAGGGCACTTCACCTTTAAGATAAGGGCTTCATCACAGTCAGACCCAGGGTCAGGCTGCCGAAACTGTCCCCTAAGAAGCCCTGGTCTCACTGAATGACTCATTAGGATTGTTGGTTGTTTTTTTGTTTACTTTTTGGTCTAGAAACACATCTGTGCATTCACACAGAAGCTCTTACTGGTATTTTTTCCACCTTATCACCTCTTAGAATATAGAGTTACGCACATTTAGTACTTGCCAAGCCATTTAGTCTTGTCTCGTCACTAATACTTCATAATTTAACTTTTTCCCTAGTGATGGGCATTTCAATGTTGCTAATTTTTCCAGGATTACAAATGCTACTGCAGTGAACATCTTTGAGGATGTGTTTCAGGGCTGTCATGCATGTCTAGTTCTTTATACAAGGAAAGAATGAGAATGAATGAAAGAATTCAGGGAAAGCTCAGCCTGGCCAGAACTGCCCTGATGTCCTGGGCCTTGTGCATGAACCCATGTGGATGAGAGGGGCAGAGGGGAGATGGGGGAAAGAAAGACTCTCTGAGTCTAGGACCTGTGAACATGCAATGACCCCATCTCTCAGTAAGGATGGCCCATTTTTCTGAACTCTAGAGAAAAAACAAACTGCTATTTCCCTTGGAAAGAAATGGGGAAGGGGAAGAAGGTTGGTAGAGACGTGAGTAGAAGGCAGGGGCATTCTCCCGCTGTGCACCCCCCATGCTGGGGGCTCTGCCAGGTTATTAGAAGCCTCTCTCAGGCACTATCTCACAGTACCTAACTTTGTGACTTCCCTAGTCTTGTTTAACACTCCCAAAAGTAAACATGTCCAGGGGAATGCCTGGGTTGGAGGAAATGTAGTGAAAATAAGTGGAGAGATGAAAGAAAAGAGAAGAGCAAAGAAACCAGGATCATCATAAAGGTTAAAAAAAGAAATCTGGGCTACAGAAGTGAAGGAGGGATACGTGAAGCTTCAGAGGGCTCTAGAATGTCACTGAGCTTCATAGAAACATGAGGTCTTGTTGCTATAGAGAAATAGGCCCTGGATCAGAGAGTCTTCAAGTTGAAAAACCTTATAGCTCCTCCAACTGAAATGTCAGTTCCCTGGGCCATGGTGAAAGAGAGCTACAAGGACAATATAGTAACTTAAAATTTCCGCTGGGTGCAGTGGCTCACACCTGTAATCCCAGCACTTTGGGAGGCTGAGGCGAGTGGATCACCTGAGAGGTCAGGAGTTTGAGACCAGCCTGGCCAACAGGGTGAAGCCCCATCTGTACTAAATATACAAAAATTAGCTGAGTGTAGTGACAGGTACCTGTAATCCCAGCTACTCGGGAGGCTGAGTCTTGAGAATCACTTGAACCTGGGAGGGGAGGTTGCAGTGAGCCCAGATCATGCCACTGCATTCCAGCCTAGGTGACAGAGTGAGACTCCATCTCAAAAACAAAAACAAACAAACAAACAAACAAACAAACAAAAAACCCAAAAGGTTTCCAACTTCTTTTTTTGGAGGAAGGGAGGAGAGGGAAGTCTATTGTTTTCTGAAAGTCAATCCCTCCTTGGTATAAAAATGTTCTCTCTTTTTTTTTTTTCTTCCTCAAATACTGGCTTATTTTTACCCAGCTACGCATAGTACTTGTGGACATATTAAGATAAATCTCAGGTCTCAAGATAATGGAAAGAAGCCCTGAGATAATATACAGTTAGTAAGTTTGGCTGTGGTGACATGGCCCAAGATGGTGGCTTAGGAAAGAGAGTTCACTCCTATCTAAGGCGTAGGCAACCAGAGCTGCTCCGGCAGCCTCAGGGTGACAGGGACACAGGCTCCATCCGCAATACTTGGTCATCTCTAGAGTCTCACCATTCTCCACATGGCCCGGGAGGTGTCCCACTACCACAGCAGAATTCCAGCCGCTAGGAAGCGGGGGTGGGGGAGGAGAAAAGCAGCAGCCTCACTTTAGGGCCATGAAGCTTCACACATCACTGCTGCTAACATCCTCTCAGCTGGAACTCAGTCCCAGGGCCCACCCAGTGGCAGAGTGGCCAAGGCTCAATGGAAACTTCTATTACTACAGAAGAAAACGGATACTGGGGGATAATGAGCAGCTCCTGTCCCTGTTGTTACATCTAATCAGACAGCTAAGAAGGCAAGATTTTCAGGCATCTGATATTGGGTCCTCAAGAATTTAAAGACATAGCTACCTAGGTTCACCATCTGGCATACCCAAACTGCCAAAAATTTAAGTGAACAGTTGGGAAGGATGGCTCCCCTGGAGCTTCACCTGCCTTTCTTTTCAGCATTTATTTAAATATCCCTTTTATTAGTATAATCAGCATTGTACACATCTTTTCCATCAGAGTCCATTTCTTTTCTCTTTTTTTTTTTTTTGAGACAGAATCTCACTCTGTCACCTAGGCTGACTGCAGTAGCGTGATCTTGGCTCACTGCAACCTCTGCCTCTTGGGTTCAAGTGATTCTCGTGCCTTGGCCTCCCGAGTAGCTGGGACTACAGGCACGTGCCACCACACCCAGCTAATTTTTTGTATTTTTAGTAGAGATGGGGTTTCACCGGGTTAACCAAGATGGTCTCAATCTCCTGACCTCATGATCTGCCTGCTTCGGCCTCCCAAAGTGCTTGGATTACAGGCGTGAGCCACCGTGCCCAGCCTAATTTTTATTTTTAGTAGAGACAGGTCTTGCTATGTTGCCCAGGCTGGTCTTGAACTCCTGGGCGTAAGTGATCCTCCTGCCTTGGCATCTCAAAGTGCTGGTATTACAAGGCGTGGGCCAGTGCACCTGGCCCAGAGTTCACTTCTTAAGGGTGGTAGGGATGTCCTCTTCACCTGCGGCTTGCTTTTCTGGCCCTCTAGTCCCTATTACCACATATTAGTGGAAGAGACACTCATGCTTGACAGAAAATTGGGTCTGGGCAAAGGCTGAGAAAAAGGTATAGGCTGATGCTGGATAAGAATCCCCTTTTCCCTCCCCACCTTGTCTACAACCAGCTAGTAAAGGAACTCAGTGCTACTAAAAGTGCAGGAGTGGTATCAGCACTATCCGGAAATCTGTCAGAAAAGCATGTTCTCAGGCCCTACCCCAGACACACTGATTCAGGTCTGTTGGGAATCTCCATGTAGGTTTCATCTAAAAAGCTATATTTTGAATCCACAACCAAAAAAGAAAGAAGGAAGATATAATAAGCAACTAGAAGAAGGGCTGCTGGATCCAGGAGATGGGCCAGTAGCGCTCATAGCTATGTGGCTTTGGGCAAATAACCTCTTTAACTGTTTCATCGGTGGCAGAGCTGCTGGCTGTCCCCGGCTATGTTTCTCTCTTTTTATATGGTAACGGAGTTTCCAGCTGAGCACATGGCCACCTAAAAATTCCACCTTCCAGCCTCCTTTGGAAGGAGATGTGGTCAGGTGACCCCCTTTAGGCTAACAGAATGTGAGCAGATGTAACATATGCAACGTCAACACTATGCCTTAAAGGGAAGAAGTGTGCCCTCCATTGCCCACTTTTTACCTTCCCTCCCCCTGACTAGGATGTACATGTGGTGGCAGGTGCTGAAGCTGCCACCTTGGACCACAGGCCAACTGTTAAAGATGGCAGAGATGCAAGAAAGGAGGAACCTGGGGCACGGGTAATCTTATAGAACGGGTGACTTACCTGGGGACTATCACAGGAGAGAGAAATAAGTTTTAAACCAATGCTATTTTGGACCTCTCTTATAGGGATTAAACCTTCCATCAAACTGATTGTACTCCATTTACAAAATGGGAAAAACTATACAAATCTCACCCATCTCAAAGGAGACCATATTGCTAGAGTTGTGTAAACTATAAAGTATACACAGTAGCTTACTTTTCTTATTCCTGTTTAAGGATTGTATCAGCTAGAGGCCAGAGGCAGTCATTTAGAACCTGACTGTGCCCGTCAGGCTAAGGCATTTGGACTGACTGGTTAAGAGGAGACAGGAAGACTCAGTGGATCCTGATTATAACGTGATCCCACC